AAAAAAAAAAGTAATAATTACAGCCCAAATAAGAGCCCACGTACAACGTGGACTTTGGTGACGAGAAGGGCAGGAAACAGAGAAAATAAATACAAACTCGAAACAGTAGACTTGTTCCCAGGTTATGGCAAATCTGGGGAGATCCAGGCCCTTAATGGAGGTGGGAATTTGGAAGCAGTTGGCTTTAAGGAAAATGGGACCAACTGATTGTTAAGGGACTGAGGTCACCAAAACCGCTTCTGGGAGCTGGGAGACCAGTCGCTTCACTTTCCGGTCACACCGTTTATGAGTGATCAGCTGAGAGGGAAAGGCGGCGTGTGGCGTGTAGAAGAGAGATAGGCTGTGGAACCCCAGCTATGTCTCCTGCCTTTGCCCCTCTGTGCCTCAATCTTCTCATCTGTAATGGAGGCAAGAGAATATCTATGACCTGATGGTCTGCTGAGACAGTACATATGGATAGAAAATGCTTCAGTACAATGTAAATGCTTAGTTACGTGGTAAGTAGGTTGTAAAAGTAGCTACGGTTACGCATGAGTGACACGAAGTGTTGTAAGTGCCCTCTTCAACCCAAGGCCAGTGCTTGAAAAACTGCTATTTATCTAATGCTCACAACAGCGCTTCTATTATATAGATGAGGAAAACGAACGGTAAGCTAAATGAGTCCATGAATCTATTCATTCTTCCAGTCTGATCATTCGGGAAGCTTATAACCCTCTGGTATCTGCCAGACCCGGTAGTAGGAGTTGAGCATTCACAGACACGGTCTTTTCCATCAGGGAGGTCACAGTCCAGGGCCACATAGCTGGTGCTGACAGGTAGCCTTTAGTGAGCACTTACTCTGCGCCTGGCACTGTCCTAAGCACTTTGTATTGTATTTTTTTTTCAACGTTTTTATTTATTTTGGGGACAGAGAGAGACAGAGCATGAATGGGGGAGGGGCAGAGAGAGAGGGAGACACAGAATCGGAAGCAGGCTCCAGGCTCCGAGCCATCAGCCCAGAGCCTGACGCGGGGCTCAAACTCACGGACCG